AGCGTTGCAGAGATGATAAGAAGTCAAATACAAGCCTGCACACACACAGATGATTTAAACTTGTAATGTTAAAAAGGAAGGAAGATGAATGGCCAGGTTACTGTATGTTCCAAGTTCATATTCTGATGATGATTTAAAAATGCTGCAAACTACGGTGGCCCTGAGAGGTCAGCGCACTGCACCTTCAGAAAACACATGCAGAGAGACACACAACTCAGAAAACATCCTCATCAATTTGACAACACGTGCTGCAAATGCACACAACACAACCAAGTACCGAACATATATTAAAAAAATCTACATGATGAGTTTTTATATGTCATAACATGTTGCAGCCATATATGTTAATGATATATATTTCATTTATATATGCAAGTGAATTAAAACAACATACATATAAAAATTCTATATGCTGATTTATGTTTCATTGTTTTGCCAATGTGAACACGATTGCCAATTGTCAGACCAACAAATAACAAACTCAAAGAAGATGTCGTTAGAAGTGAAGAACAGGATGAAGTTCAACTTCATGCTAGTTCCCCTCACAGAAGGAGAGAAGAGGAGAATCTTCAGGAGATTGAGTGAAAGGGAGCCACTTGTTTTCGAGGAGCCTTAAACTTCGCCAGGAAAGACAAGAGCTGAAAAGTCATCTGACGTGAAGAGGACCACGAGTGGACTCGTTCAAACTGAGCCCATTGTTTTTGTGGGTGGTGTTTTTTTTCCAAAGAGCAACCCCCAGTTAATGTTGCCTTTGGATTTTCATCCAAACAGAGGAAGAGGAAAGACCACAAGACCATCTCCTCCAATCAAGAAGCACCTGCTAACAACAGGGGGGAGCGTGAAGGTAAAGCTCCCTTTGAGGAACCTGTGGTGGAGCAGCAGCCAAGAGTTCCTGAGCCGTATGAAGACCATCATCAACAGGCTGACTCCTGAAAACTTTCAGGATTTAATGAGACAGCTGAAGGAGCTAAAGGAGGAGACAGAGGAGGATTTGAAGGAAGCCACCAACATACTCTTCAAGAAGGCCGTGCTGAGACCAAACCAAGCTGTGCTTTATGCGAACATGTACCACTCTGTCGAAGGTTAGTCATGACTCTATGACTGGGTGCTAATTTTGATCCTTTTTCCTATCACTTAATTTGCTTTGCTCCTTATGAGTCCATTTTGAGACTATGATGCTCATGACAACATAAATACCCCAATGCATCCGTCAGCTTCCAAACTCTAATCACCAGACACTGCCAGGCTGAGTTCCAACAAAACCATGGCAGAGATGACGTTTTTGAGATGAGGCAGAGATGGCTGGAGAACGCCAAGAATGTAAGTAACGTGTTCTTTTTCTTGATTTATCACAAATATCAAGACTGGCTCCATTTGTCCTCCTCCTGCTAAACCCTCATTCACAGAGGAGGACTTGGAGACCTTCCTCTGAGGATCTTATTGACAGATACCGCCACAGAGATGACGTGAAGGAAGCCCCGTACACCGCTGCAGAGCAAACCAGCCCCTCTGTCCTCCATGTATTTGTCAGTCATGGACTTGACATTTGAGTCCAGCGGCAATGCTGGGAGGAAGATGGGCCTGTTGCTGCTCGACTTGCACAGGGCAGGAGTCCTGTCAGCCGGGCAGCTCTTTAAAGGTCTACTGGAGATCCTGGAAGTTGCAGACTACATTGCCACAGACATGCGTCACATCTGGCTGTGCCTCGCCGAGCTCATCAGCCCCACGCTACCTCTGCCACCCCCACCCCCCCCTCCTTGCCTCTACAGCCTGCTAACCCCCAGTTTCCTGTATTGTCTCTCCTCACCTTTCCTTACAAGCCCCCCCCCCACGCTTTCTCTCCCTCCCTCACCCCCATCTGCTCTCTCTCTCTCTCTCTCTCTCTCTCTCTCTCTCTCTCTCTCTCCTCTCTCGCCCCCCCCCCCCCCTTCCTGCTCTATTGTCTATTGTAAACAGTGCAGTCTAGAGCTGCTCTGTATGAATCTGTCTATAGTCTGTGTTAGACTGTATTCAGACAGGCATTAGTCCTGCATTAAAACACAAAAATCTCAGAATCCTCTGGTCTTATTGTAATACTGCTAAATAAACTGCGTACTATGAAGTTACACTATAAAAAAAACATGATATATTGTCTGCATTTCCCAACTTGTACTTTGTTATTTTCTGTAAACATTGGAAGAAATTTTCTGTGAAATTCACATTATTTCACTGGCAGAAAATGATATGTAACTTATTATTAAAAAAATCTTGTAAGTAAAACTGAAGGGGTTTTAAAAAAAAGCCTTAGAAGACTGGAAACTCGCAGGAGGCTGATAAAGGTTGTGGCCAAAAACGCCACATTTGCTTTTCACAACAGAACCATCAGTCCATTGATGATCACTGCAAATATTTAACTGAGACACCAACTGTGACTCTTTCTGGCATGGAATGATATAACAGGTAATATTTTGTGGTTTGATGACTGTACAGGAAAAGGGACAAAAAAGCATCTGCTGACTCTTTTGTACTTTGGATGAACAGGGTGTGATCTACTCAGAGAGGCAGCTTCCTGCATAATGAATAGAGCAAAGACACATTTTTAGTTGTTCAGTTCAGCTGCTGAGGCAAAACACAGTGTAAAATGGCTCATTCAGCACCGAAGTGAGACACCTGCAGAGTGAAGAGCCCGGCCTCCTGTCACTGCGAAGCATTAGGATACTGAACAGGAGATACACTCAAGCCTCCAGTAGACACAGTCACTGCAAAAGCCTGAGTGGCAAGTCAGGTGATGCTGTGAGCCAGATCAAATACAACCAATAAAAAAAAGCAATGTCTGTAAATGACTGCGAACATTCAAAACCAACATTTTTTAAATCTTTAAATTATCACACTGTATGCCAATTTACTATTTGTTTTAAAGACATCATGAGCCAGACTGAGATATTATTTGTGTGTGTGTGTGTGTGTGTGTGTGTGTGTGTGTGTGTGTGTGTGTGTGTGTGTGTGTGTGTGTGTGGGCAGCGGCCAGGCTGAGCTGGATAAAGACACTACTGCTCAGAAGTTAGCGGCACCTAAGTAGGAAATATGACATTTGTGTTTATGCACCAGCTGAACCACCATATTTGGACTCCTACTTTGCTAAATGTTGATGGCAAACGATGACGATGATGATGATGATGATGAAACTGTTGGCCGTGTGTGGCGAAGAATTGCAAAGACAATTTTTCTGTGGCCTACTGCCCAGTCTGATGCACACGCTTCATTCAGAGCAACCTCACTAAAGGTGCTGCTGGAGAGACCAGGGGCCACAACCAGTGACTGTTCAGTGTGTTCATCACATCAAAAGAGGGCTGTTGACCACATCTAAAATTAAATGAACACTTGCAGCCTTGGCTTGAAATAAATGTGAAAGAAAGAAAATTTGTTATGGATTGTGATTTTCATATTTCTTATTTCATTAAAAGGCCAGAGCTGTCTTTTTTTTTTTTATCCTTTGGATAACTTTTAACCAGGGAGAGTCCTTTATGATGACCCTCTTAAAAGGAGTAATTCACTGAAAAACAAATACTTTTGGAGTATTGTCAGTGCTAGGTCAAAAATAGTTTGTACTCAAAACTAAATTCCAGTATATTTCAGTTATGAACCCCCACCTCTCCACAACACACTTCTTTCTTTCTCACTACAGCAGGGGCAAGGGAAATTAATTTAACTTCATGAGAGGATATCTAATGGGTTGGACAAACAGCAATTTATCAAACAGCATTAGCATCAAGTGCATCCTATTAAATGTATGTTATTTATGCCTTTGTAGATATGAGGCGACATAATTATTCTCCCACCAGCAATCATCAGTAAACCTCTCTGTCAATTACCCACTAACAAACGCTGCTGAGAATGTAACTCATCCGGAGTACCATGCTGGAGCAGAGCTACGAGAGACGTACCATTCCCCTCACCTCCATGTCTGCTTGTCAGCTGGACAAATGTAATATGCAGTGCTGAGTCACTGGATATGATCAGGAATTAAACTGAAAGTGATGATGCATTGAAATTCCTCTCTTCTACAATACCATATGAGTACTTGGACACCCTTTATCACAGCATGAAACACACACCTTTGTGTCTGCGGCCATGCGAGTCCATACGAGACTGTGGGATGTTGGCCCTCTAGGCAGTGGACTTTGAAATGTTGAGTACACCCCACTGTGGAGCAAACTGTGACTGCTAGCCAATGCCACGCTTGTCTGCCTCTGTTCAGATCACTTCCTCCGCTGGCTCTCGCCATCTGGTGGGAAGTAGCCTTGGCTCCTTTCAATTTTGGAGAGACTCCAAAAGACTGTCCCTGTCAGCTTTACTGTGCTATCTGGCTTCTCGCTCTTGTTGTCTATATTAGGAAGTTAACCAAGACATCAGCATTAGGGTTATAATCCTGCAAAATATGTCTCTCCTCAGACACACATCTGCCCCCTCTCATTATGAAGCTGCTTTGGGACAACAACAAAGATGAAATCTGACCAAGATGAAGAGACGCTACTACAGCTTGTGTGGTTCATGACGTATGATCAGCTTCCTTTTGCTCAAACACTCTGTTCTACCTTAAAATATAGGAAATTTGGTTCATTAAAGCTGCTATGATAAACATTTAAATGGATCTGAGTCATTTGCATTGACAAATCCACAAAGACTTATCACCTGACTCTGCAGTTCTCCTGAGCATTATGGGGTGTTTGACCTTCTTTCAGCTCATTGTTTTGGTTTTATGGTGTCCAATTTTACAGCAAATGCCAACTGATCAGTTCATTCAATCAATCAAGTTTGATATTGTAGAGAGAATCAATATTTTGTGCACATCCCCACCCCCACCCCCCCCCCCCCCCCACCCCACATTGCTATCTCTTTTGTAACTGATGCACGACCTAAACCTTCCAGGGTTTCTGCAATATCTATACTGTTGTTTTATACTGTAAACTGACAAGACAACAGAACATGAGATGCAGTTGGTTTGTTTCATTTTAATAAGAGACACACACAAATAACTGCTGTAAATTGAAATACTATAATACTCCTAAATATTCCAGTCATATAAAACATATACAAAATATCAAAATGTACTGAAAGTGCCATAATCAAAATCACAGTGATTAAATAAATATGTACAAACAACAAATACTTTCAGTTTATATTTCAACCCTGCTTCTCCACAGTGAGTGTAGTTTGCCCTGTTAGAAGGAACTCTCCATCTTAACAACATCTTGGACTTTTTCACACGTGTCAGGCTTGATGGACAGAACCAGCTCCATTTCCTGGCCGGGGGAGGGGACGGGGATTTTGTTGATCTTGGCAAAGCTTTGGCTGATGTCTTGAAACGTTTTACTTTTGGTCTCAGGGAGGACGACGCAGAGGTAGATAGATCCTGAGACGCAGACCACCACAAACACCAGGAAGGAAAAGGTCTGCAGTGTCTCCTACACCAAGAGAAAACAAACGTGGAGGAGTTAAGTTAGATAGATTTTTTTTTCTCTTTAAAACGCTGCACACATTTTCTGAAAGGAACTCTGAAAAAGAAATGAACATTTGTTAATCAACATTAAACACAGACATTAATTCAGGACTAAAATGTCTCTCGCAGTCTCATTGTTTTCAAGATTCCTGGTAAACACAATTCATTATTACTGCATCAAACATGATGCCTACTGTTAAGATTTATTTTTATGATTTTCCTATTTTAGCATTTAAACCATTTTGATGATTACTCTTCTCCCTCCCTCCACAGAGCTAAATCCTGTCATTTTCCAGCCATCCTAAACTCTTGCCAACTCCAGAGAGACGTCGTCTGTGGCATCTGTTTTGTCATCTGCGTGTGTTGTGCTGAGGATGTCGCAACATCCCCATGATATTCCGCTGAAAAGGTGTTGCGAGGGTATGTGCAAATTTTCCAGTTTAGATTCCGGAACAGTATTTGTGTGCTTGTGCATTGAACTATGTCGCAGCACCCAAAGTATGAAAGCTAACCTTGTCCAGTGTGTTATGCCAATAATAGAGATTAGTGACAGATTTAAAAATACACACTGACTGATTACCCAGAGGGAGATTTAGAGATGGAGAGAGGGTTTTTGTGTGTGTGTGTGTGTGTGTGTGTGTGTAAGAGGGAGAGAGAGAGCTGGAAGAGAGAAAGGGGAAGAGTCTGAGAGAGAGATTTTGCATAGGGCAGAGAAACTTGACTGACCCTCGGCAGTATGTCACTGAGCTATAATCCTTCGCTTACGAGGGGACAGAACTCAAATGCAGCGCTATGTACCTGGTATTAGAAATGCAGTGTCCAAACAAGCATGACCTCAATGACGAACTACTTACTGCTTTGATTTCAGCGGTTATATCACCACTGCTGTTAGCCTGACACTGTTTTCCTCTGTTTGGTGTATTTCATAATAGCACTAAAAAAAAAAAAAAAAAAGAAAAAACAGAGCATCGTGCAAAGGGCCTGACCCAGTTTCCGCGCCGCCTCTGTGATGTAACGCTCGTCTGCAAAGTTAGCAAGTTCCTCAGAAATACTGCCTTTCTCTCCCAGTTGTCATAGGAGATGAGTCATGGTACAAACAGGACTTCTCTGCGTCCATCCCGTCTGTCATTAATCGAATTTTTGCAAGCGCCGTGGATTGAGGAGAATGAGACGGTCCCGTATTTGACACGGGGGATAAGCCTTTGATCTGCTGAGGTGGCTCAGCTGGGTTCAGTTTGGTGCACACACACAAACAATTAGGCATGCACACAGAGACCCATCAGTGGCTGCAGATACACAAACATACAAACGTGAATCATATTTTCACGGCTCATGGCCAAACACATGTTGCACCCAGAGTGAGAGAGGGGTTGGCAGCGATGGGGAATCCTGGGAATGCTGGGACCGGACAGGATGAGACAGGACAGAAAAGTGGAAGACTGGATGGAGTGGGACAGGATGGGACGGCATGAGAATTGACAGGACAGGAGGGGATGGACCCGGGATGAGGTAGGACAGGCCAGTGCAGGATGGAACAAGACTGGGCAGAAATGAACAGGACGGGATAGAATGGGATGGGACAGGACAAGACAAGATAGTCTTAGACAGGAAGGGACAGTCTAGGATAGAACAATGCAAGACAAGATGGGATAGACCAGGCCAGTGCAGAATGAGACAAGACAGGACAGTAAAGGAGGGGGTGGGATAGGACAGAACAGTGCAGGCTAGGAAAGAACAGGACAACAATGGAAAGAATGGAACAAGACAGGGCAGGACAGGATGGACTAGGACAGGACAGAACGAGACAGACTAGTAAAGAACAATGCAAGGCAAGAAGGGATGGGACAGGCTAGTGCAGGACGGCACAGAAAAGGACAGTACAGGACAGGACAGAACAGGGCAAGATGGGATTGCACTGAAAAGTGGAGGAAAGGACAGTCTATGATAGAAAAGTGTGATTCAGGACAGAGTAGGACAGGCCAGTGTAGGACAGAACAGGAGGCGACACAACGGAAAGGGATAGGACAGGACATGAGGGGACAGGACGAGACAGAGTGGATAGGAATAGAACAGAACAGCGCAAAATGGGACAGGAAGGGATGGGACAAAATACAAGGGTATGAAGCAGGACAGGACAGGACAGGACAGGAAAGCAGAAGACAGGACAGGACAGGAGAGGACAAGAAAGGAGAGGAAAGGGCAGGACAGGAGAGGACAGGACAGGACAAGACGGGGCAAAGGAGAAAACAAAGTTTAAACACCCATGTGGACATAAATCCGCTGGAGACATTTAAGAAGATGTCCTGGTCCAGCGTTTATCTGTTGCGTGGAAATATACTGTCTCAGTAACGTAGTTTCTGCGGCAACACTGTGTCATGCTGCGGTGGTGGGGGGTTATTTGCATGTGTGTAGGCTTTTAAACATCGTGCTGAATTGTCCCAGTGGGAGACACACTCAGGGACACTGTCTGTGATGTACATAAGATTACTCTGCAAATGTCCACACTGAGCTGTTTAGCGGATTTATTGATTACTGTGTATCAATGCTGTCACACTCTGGGGGCACAGCAGCGGGAAGGCAAACAATCGTTTAGCTTCACAGTTATGGATCATAGCGCTGATAATCCTCATTCATGGGCGACAAATACAAACGCATACAAACTCAAAGCATACTAATGAATGTGGTCAGGTTTGATAGCTCATTAGCCTTGACAGTTGTATAAACTAATAGAGCCTGTTATTGACCCACTGTAAAATTAATCGTGACGATTAATCATATATGAGCCAACTGCATTCAGTTCAGTGTTTGAAAGTAACTGGAAAAGCTCATTAAATGCTAACAAGTAATTACACTGCTAAGCTTTTCATGATTAAATAAAAATTGGTCTGCTTTCATTATTTATTTATTTTCTAAGATAAATCTATGTGTTTTTAAAATATTTATGTAGTTTAAAAAGTGGGGAATTTTCTAAACCCAAAATGGAAATTTTTGGAATTTGGAGATGGTTTTCACGTGACAGCATGCTATGTTAAACTAATGTTATGTTATGTTAACCTATCAAAATAATCAGAATCTATCTGAAATTGAGAGCATTCGCACCACGGTGTCTATTTAGTTGCTCTTCTGGAGCTTTCGATCTTATCACACAATCTCTCTCAGCAGTTTCCCAGTTTTTATGTGTGTGAATGTACTTCTTTCTACGACTTTCCATCCGCAATGGCTTAAAACATTGAGATCGGAAGGTCACTCATAGATCTTAGATTGTGTAATCCACTCAAAAGCTCAAGCACAGCAATTTAAGTGGAGCACATGGTGAGACTGTATTGTCAATCAATGTAATCTCCCCCTCCACCCATAAGGACATCCCCTCAAAAGGTTTACAGCCTGTGGATTCAGAGGTAGTCACCTTTTTCATGGAAACAATAAAAAAGCTGAAACAATCCTGCTTACATATGCCAGTGATGCCCGTCGGCTACGTGACAGTAATTCAGATGATTCTGTCACGCATCACTGTTAGTTTCCATGGTTGATACCTGACTGCATTATAAAGTGGTTTGAACTCTAATCTGGCATATTTCTTCATAAAATCATAGTCCTGTCAAACATTTGCAATATCATTTGCACTTGATTGTCACTATTCATGTCTCTCTCCATATATATATTTTCATAGCTCTATTAACTTCCAGTGATCTGCCATGACGTGTGTCACCAGTTCTGTTTTAAGGAGGAATTGCAATAAGTTTGCTCTGCCAGTGTTCTTATTGTAATTCATAGACTGTGCACAACAATAACCCCTTTTTCCATTATTTCCAACCTATCTCTCCAAAATGTGGATTTGTGCAAAAGGGCGAGATTTAAGGTAAGAAAAGGGCAGGCTAAATAAGAAATCTCTGTGGAGAGTTTAAATAAGACAATCGGTGTGGAAACCTGCAACAGGCTGCAGAGCTGCTGTGTGTCAACTGAAAATGAACTGATGGTGCTTTTTAATCAGCACAGAGCTATGACATAATAATCTGCCTCAACAGTGGGTGAATGAGGTCAGTTAAATGAGGTCATGGGAAAAAAATGTAAGAGGTTACTGTGCCAAGAAACTATATTGTATTGTAGATATCACTGCCAAACCAGTGCTGCACACTGAATAAAAACTGACTGAGGAATCTAATACACTGAACGGAAGTTAAATCTATTCCCTTATAGGGATTATTGTGTTTTTGCTTCACCTTTGATTTGCTCTCATTTATTTATCTAAATGGATAAAACAGTGATAAAGTGTTCAGTGTAACATTCTCTTTTAAATGGAGACGTTGGGATTTCCTTGCAATTTTATTGCAAAACAATGTTCAGCACCGTCTGGGTCCAAGGTGTCAGGCAATAATTAATCAGCCTATTTTCAACTGAAATTATTAATGCCCCCCTGGTGGTAAATTTTTGATATTGGGTTATATGAAATGAATTAAACTAACTCAACTCAACTATAAGGAGACACAAAACAAAATTATAAAACTGAATAAAGAAACTGTATATATCAACTATCACTAATGTGCAGTTTATTCTAGCAACATTCATGTCTTTAAATGTATTACACATTTTTATTCATGTCCTAAGTGTGCCTCCCTTCTGTTAAACAATTACCCAGTCAGTCCTTTAAAGAAGCCCAAGTGACACCTCAGTGGTGGCCTGTCATGGAGGTGAAGGGATGTGACGGTGCAGCAGTGTGTTTTCTGAACCGGGGTCAGAGCTGCTTTCAGGTGCCAGTCAGTAACCAGTGAGTCACTGCTGTGATCTGGATGCCCTGTGTGTGTTTGGGAGTAAGTGAGCCCAGCACGACCCCAGCCAACAAAACCAACACTGCAATATTTGAGGCGATGGCTGGATAAAAATAAGCATTTGTCGCTTTCTGTCTCTCACACTCACGCTCTTTGGTCAGCGTCTCTACCTCTTTTTCTGTAAGCCTCTATTATCTGT